ACAGAAATAACATTTATGACAGTCTTTCTTAGAGCTACACAGTGGCAGGGAGGACCGTGGGTCAAATAACCAAACAAACCTTTTAGATTGAACAAAATTAGCTCTAATTATTTCATACTAGTTGGCCATACATTAAGACACTGCAAATATTAAAGTCCATACATTTTATATACCTCACATAAATCTTAAGTCAAGTACATAACCTCACAATTATATGTAATTACCCAGGGTTCACTGAGGAATCTTGGGTTTCAGTTGTGTTTGACAACAGTTCCACTTGAAATCTATTGCAACATGCATGTTACAGAGTAAGTCAAGTTCATTAGGAGCTTGATAAAGTAAAACGTAAATCTTTCTTCTCAGTATATAACATGTAATCCTTATTGTTTGGTCTCAAACCCAGAACCAACCAACAGAATAAGCTGCAGAATGTACTGGCTAGGCTGACCGAAAATGTAAGCAAGAGGGTCATAAGGGCAGCAAAGTGCACAAAAAAAATCTTAGAATCATATTATACATAAGTTTGTAAACGCAGATGCAAATGCTCAACTAGTGTGTTACAGGTGTCCTGTTGTAAATGCATTCTTGTGTTACATTTGATGATAACAAACCTAATACTTAAAGGGGGTGCTATCCTTAAATGTGCCTTAAACTAAACAGGATATTATTCAGCTAGCTATTAAAAAAAAAGTTGAAGACAATTTACATTAACGCCTACTATCTAGCGCCTCTTGTGGCAATGTTGAGAATACGACAGATACTAGCATTGTATTATGGATTGCATTGCACATGCATCACACTTGCACAAGAAGTGTTTATGTTCACATATTTGTGTCGAGTTTTGAACAGTTTCATTAAGATGTGGCAGAACAACAACCTTTCTTTACAACAACTACAAAAAAAAAAAAAAATAAAAACAATGCAAAAACTTTGTTTCTTAAATTGACCCATCACAAATGCTCCCTTGATATTTTTGTGCAAGAAACTCAATATCGAAGTAAACGACACACATATGTATGTTTATATGTATGTATATAAATACATCCACAATTATGCATTATCCATGGGCAAATCATTACCCCTGCACTTGTCTTTAAAGGTCATTTGGCACAACTTATAATTTGGCTATAATCATGTTGCATGGCCGAGGCAGTCACATAGTCATAAACATAGCAGTTTGTTTTGAGGCCGGCAGCTTCATCAATTCACTTGTTCTCCAGCACAGCACTTTACTTCAGACGAATTTTTACTTTCTTTTCTGCACTGACAGTTACGGTATGACTTTTATTGCAAACATATATCCATGATGCACATCTTAGTAACTGTGAGACAGTAGAAGACTGTTTATCTCAAAAATGCCCTGATATAGAGGACATCGAATCGGTATGTCAGAGAAAGCAGTTTTCTGCGTCATTTTTAAGTCAAGAAGTGTCGCCCTAACAAGATTTAGTGGGATACCAGTCATTCCCTTTGACACAGCCTACTGTATGTCACCTATGTCCTTGTTCTATCAACCTTTTGGTATTGAATCACAGTGTAATACGACATAAAATATCTAGCATGTGTGGCATGAGTACAACAAGCATGACGTGACGAACCACCAAGAGGAACAAGATTGATGTCGTCCAAAAAAAAAAACACACTGTCCTTAGAAGACAATGTTCATCTTATACTATTACAATAACAGAAGCCTGAAATGTGTACCTATGATGTACTTGAGCTTTCCTACTGCAGTTTCTCATACCATAACAAGAATAAGGCCTTTTTTAAAGAACAAGTCACATATCAAACCCAGACAATTGTGAAAAGAAACCAGAAAACTCAATAAGATTACATCTACCAGCTCCACTAACCACAAGGTTGTGTCAGATGCTTTGGGACATGCAGAAAAATGCTGGATTCATTTTTTTCCCTTTTTAATACAGTATATACAGAGAGCCTGGCAGATTGTACATTAAACATTTAGAAAACTGCACACAAGATGGTACATCTAGCAAAGCTAGCATAAGGCTAGTGTTAGTAGCCAAGATGCTAACCATTCAACGTGATCCAGAAATTTTAGACCTGAAAAACACACAAGGGGGACTTCAAATGTGTAAATCAAGCTTTAAAGCAATAGTTTAAGCAGTAAATCAGCAAAATTTAGAAAGTTTTCCAGTCAGAATTCATCAGTGATAACTTTACCAATTAGCATTTGTAGTGCTGTACTACAGTACATTTTACTGTCACCCTCTTGAACATTAAAATTTCACTGGTATTACCCTTCATTTGCATGTAAAAAGCCAGATGTCGCACATATTAGACAAGTATGCCGACAAAGTTTACAGAAGTAATTCTTTTGGTAATGAACACAACTACGTTTCCCAAGTATCCTATTTCAAGTAGGTTGACAACATCTAAAAAAAATAAAAAATACAACTTTTACTTGTTACATTTGAATAAACTATCATGCCACTACCGTAATAGCACACGTAGAATACATCATGGAGATGTTTATTTAATGTGCACATTTTCACCTGGAAGATCGATTTTTTTAGTTTGCTCATCTCTAGACATTTACACATGTCCTCAAAGCAACTGTATGCAACTTATATACAGCTGATTTAAGATGTTTATGATTTAGAATATTTGTAAAACTGCTTTTTAGATGTTTAGCAGATGTTTTCCAAATGAAGAACTCTTTAAGACGTCTTAGAGATGTACGTGTGCCATCTGGGTTAGTTATACCCAATGTTGTTTTTGCAGATTTGTACTGATGCTATAAGCGTTATACTGTGTACTGTAAAAAACATAGATCATGTATGCTATCAGATATGTAGCTAGCATAAATAGATTTAAATTCCTATATAAATATACTTCTTACATGTGGTTTTATTTATGATTTGTTCTATTTGTGTCAACAATCAATACCAACATCAGTTGATCTAGCCCTACTATAGCTCAGATGAGATGTAAGGAGCCAACGGATATGCACTCCAGATATTGAATATGGCTATTTGAAGGGCCATTATGAGATACAAAAACATAAAGCCTCCTGATAACACAACAGCATATGTGGTGATGTAACTAATGAATAGATTGTCATGCATTCATTTATTCTTAACACATCCTAATGTATGAGAAAAACAATCTTATTATTATTTAGAATATTAAAATAAACATGAGTTCTATCTATTAATTCGCTAATATATCCACTGATTAAAACTTAAAAATATTGAATGTCTTGTGTCTGAAGCTACTGATCAACAGCCACGTTACAATTATATATATATATATATATATATACAATCGCTAGGACCAATTTCTCCATACTTAGGTCACTTTTTTTTCTTCACAACCAAACACACAGTGAGCACAACAGCAGTCTGTGGGCTAAAACGTGGATTGTTTTTTTCATTACTTTGGCACAAAATACACAAAATACATGGACATTGTATTTTTATGAGTGACAAAGTATGTTGGTTGGATGACAACCTTTGAAAGAGTTATGGAAAAATGAAATGATTTGAGACATGCATGATGCGTTTTGGTATTTTTACTGCATTTTGGATGTGAAATTTGCTAATGTAACAGGCGGAAAGCTAGTTAGGAGAATTGTGTGAAGAGTTTAGAAAAAGTGACCTAAGTATTGAGAATTCGGTCTTAGCGATTGTTAAAAAAAATAAAAAATGTTAGTGTACACTGTTCATGAAATGACTTGAATGAAATGGCAAAGGTAATGTTTTTTTGCTTAATATAGCTTGCTGTCACATAAGTACATACTTTACGCAACTTTTTAGTTTATCTACAAAAATGTCTCTATTTAAATTCACATGTAAACCTGGCACTTTCTACATGAATGCAAAAAGATTGTTTTTCGAAAACGAGATGCATAATCAAATTGAACACACTATGAGAAAGAAATAAAATCATAAGGGAACAATGGTGATAACAGCATATAAATATGCACACATCCATGTTTGAGTGCATGTTCTCATATTATCTTAAATATATGCTTAAAACTACAACTACATTTTGCATGACATTTTACAGACAGGAAACTATGAAACTGGCTTGCAATTGCCAAAATATTAATATGAATAAAAATAGTGCATTCACAAACATGAATACTGTATTGTCCAAAACACACACACACACAAAATAAATAAATAAATAAATAATAATAATAATAATAATAATAATAAAATCACCAGTGTAATGATCTACCCAAACCACCAACACTTCAGCGTGAGGTTATGGAAATGCATGTTCCTCCTGTGTGGCACTGGCCCAAATCTAAAATCCAGTCTTTATATTCTTCACAGCTGAAATGTTTCATAGCATTTCAGATCCTCAGATGAGGGTCTGATGCACACTGCTCATACTGGCCTCAAACAAAGAACCGTTGTCTGGCCCAGTGCCTTACAGTCAGCCGTCAGCACTAAATCAACTCACATGCAGGACAGCTCTGAGTTTAATACCATCCTGTGAGAGTTCAATCAACACTGACGTTTTCTTTAGGCAGGCGTAAGCTTGAAGACAATGTCAGCATGTGCCAAACTATTCATCTCTACGGCGAGTGATTAAAAAGGCACACAGTTTCTTTCTCTTGGAGCCTGCTCAGGCTGTTTAAACAATAAGAGTCACTGGACGAAAAATGCACTGATAGACCCATGGGGATGTACACACATATCTAGATGACACTACTGATATAATACTCTGGGTTTGCAAAGAGTCAAAGAACAGACAGTTAGTAATGATGCGCCTACGGACATCGCTACTGGCTGCTGAAAGGCTACAGGTTCTCGCCGATGGCGACTGAAAACCAATGGTGACTGATGTTTTTCTTCTGATGATACACAGTGTGAGGAGTGGGGGAGGGGTTTAGTGGGTAATTAATGGCCATCTGTACAAGACCAGCAATACTGTCATACTTTACTCATGCAACACATAAAATGGCACATACAAAAAAAACAAAAACAAAAAAAACATTACTAACTAGAGTTGTGTATCTACATGGTTGCTTAAAAAATGAAAATGAACACAGTAGCAGTAGCATCATGTTACTGATTAAGACTGGACTGGCAGTTTATTTATTTGTTTCTGGTTTCCATGTTCATTTCTGTGGGCTGGACCGGTTGATGGTCGGCTTTCTGTTGACGTAAGTGGCCCAGTAAGCCAGGTTGAAGATGAAGAAGAGCACTGGAAAGATGATACGAGAGATCTTGTCCACTTTGCTGACACGATTGTATGACTTTCTTCCACCCTCCGGCACATATTCCCCATCCATTTTGGGCAGCCGGATCTCTCGGACCGGCTGGGATGGGGTGGACGTGGATGTGGCACTCTTGGAGACGGTTGTCAGTCCGGGATCTTTGGCTACGCTCATGCTGTAGGTGGTTCCCACGATGTTGAAAGTGTTGTTGGTCTTCTTGGAGAAGGAAGCCGACTCTCGCCTCTGTGAAAGAGTCAAAAGGAAAAAAATTGAGCAATAAAAACACCTTATCTTGAGCAAAAGTGAAGCATTCATCTTACTAATGGACTCTCTAGTAAATCCCTGTTTTCCCGTACTGCACAATTTTTTATATCAGGGATTAAATTTCCGTCGCTACGACGGATTTCCGTCAGTTCATAAAGACAAATAAGCTACCAATCATATGAAATTAGTATTAATAAATTAATTTGTACTACAGAGGTGGCACAGAAGAACACAAAAGTGGCTTGTAGGTACATTTTCAGACGTTTAATGAGGCTCAGAGGTGGCATGAGTGCAATTAAATTCATAAATTCATGTGGAGATTGTTTTAAATATAAAATTTTGAATACAGAAATAACTGAAATTATACGCTAAAAATGAATCTAAATCTCCCAGCAGGTGGCGGCAAGTCACTGATTTTATCATGAATCATTCATTCAATTGATTCGTTCGAACGGCTGAATCATTCAGGAATGAAGCAAGTGACTGTCTTTATGAACTGACGGAAATCCGTCGTAGCGACGGAACTTTAATCCCTGCTATATACTTGTATTATTTTTTGTTTCTTTATAGAAGTGGGAAATACATTCAGTGCAGTAAGAAAAACTATGTATTCATGACAGCATATCTAATTTTAAAGGTAAATCCAAATTCTTATTCAATGTGCTGATGTGCTGCAATAATGTATAAACAAAAGTATTACTATATTAAGCCATAATATAGCATGCACAAGAGAGAATGCACTAAGAATAATTTATAATACCATTTGCATAGTTTTAGCACTCATTTTAATCAAATAATTATAGAATCAGGTGCACTGGTACAAACATGTCCACAAAATCTGTGCTAAATGTATTTAACACATTGTATTTCCCATATTTAATTGTTAGATGCAGCAGATTATAATTTCAGTGCATTTCAGCACAAATTAGAACGTGCTCGTCCATACACGTCCAAATATCTGGGTACTGTTATGACTGAAGGCTGATAAAAAGGCTTTTGCAGTTTGCATTTGACAAGTGCTTTGATTAGTTGTCCAAGGCTCTTGTGGGAAACATCTCAGGGACTTCCTCAGCCCCGTAACAAAATATCAAGGATTTTGTAAAAAACTAAGGAAAATAGCTTCAAGCAATATGCATCAATGGTATATATTAATACATAAATTAGAACATTAGAACAGATTGCTTAAAGCAATCACAAAGGCTTGTTACATGCAAAACAGTCAAAGGTTTACATTGCACCGTGACAGAAGGTGGCCACGGGCTATAGAGAACATTTTGTAGTGTGAAGGGCAAATTCACTAAACAGTTGTATCTTTTGTGTGTGATATTATGCATTGTGTTCATAAAGCATCCATGCCATAGTTTAATCAGGTGCTTTCTACACTGATGTAGCATTGCACCATGTATAGTTTTGATGAACTGTATATAATAACTTTATAAAACAGTTTCAGTCCTTTATTCTGATCCCCCGTCAACAAAAGTCTTCTTATATGGGAGATTTTCTCATGCTGAGAGATAAGCAGATATATGTGAGAAAATATCATATATGCTGTTAAAAAATAAATGAGATGTATAGCTCCTATTCTCTGTTTTTATTTGAGCTACATAAGATGAGGCACGTTACACCGGAACATTCTCTTGCCATTTACTGTCACTGTCAGGAACTCTTTTTTAGCAGAATGATAGGATTTAATGAATGCAATTAAAAAAGTACCAATACATACATTTTTGGTTGTAATATTTGTATTGTGTGATAACCGTTTTATAAAAGCAATAAGGTACTCGAGGCTGTATTGTGAATAAGTCACAGCTGAAGGAGTTGCAGTGACAATAAGGAAAATAAGCCCTGGAAGCATACAGTTATAAAGTTCTGTCTGATTTTTTTAAAGCTGTTTTCCTCAAAGGGACCAGAAAAATTTCCCCACTAGGGCAAAATTTACTGATATTACTATCCTTGTGCTTATGGGAAATTTGGACGGCATAATGTAGGGAATACCAAGTACACACACACACACACACGCATGCATGCATGTTGAGTTTCCATGTTTTATGTGGACTTCCCGTAGGCATAATGGTTTTATGCTGTACAAACTGTATTTTCTATCCCCTTACCCTAAACCTACCCTGTACACAAAACTTTCTGCTATTTTAGATAAAAAAAAACAAAAAAACAAACAAAAAAACATTCTGTTAAATTTTTAAGCTTGGACCACACACACACAGAGGTGGTCTAGTTGTAGCTTCCAGGTCTCTATAGGAATATCTAACCAGGCTTCATTCTTGAGTCACAATCATAGGAGGAATGGCACAGCAGGAAACATTGTATGCCAGTAAACAAACAGAGCCTCTGTTAGCAGGCTTACACAATAAGAAACACAGAAGCTGTCTAGTGTAGTCTAACCACAATAATCTACAATGCTTTATTACATGCATGTACTGTATAGAGCTCCAGAGGTTGACGTCACGCACTCTAAACTCCACCATTTTGGCAGGCAATCAGGAGAGCGCTAGAGCATTGGTATTGACAGTTGTACAACAATAATTTAAAACCAGACTATTTAGACCTTACAAACCTTACTATTTCAACATGGTGGACAGCTGCTGTGTGCCAGGATGCCAGAACAGGCAGGGGAAAGCTAGGGTTGCCAACCATCCCGTATTAGCCGGGACGTCCCGTATATTGGGCTTAATTTATGTGTCCCGTATGTGACCTCCCTTGGTCCGTTTCTTGCCCCCTCACACAGTATTCGTTAAGTAAATCAGAAAATCCTGTACATAACTGTTTGAGGAAGGCTGCAGAATCCTCTGCTGGCTGATCGCTCCCGCTCACGGGCGCTCGCGCTTACGCCAATTCCGTCCGTGTTTTGACTTTGGTAAATCAGTTTTGGCAAATACAAACTACGTGATTATTTTTCATGAGTCCAACATCCCGCCGTGCAAGAAAACATGCAATCTACCCGAGACGTGATCAATAAGGGAAGCCGTCTTTTATTGCAAAATAGCAAGGATCCCGATAGACGACTAAAATGGTTCACTACAATAAAACATGCTAACCAACACAAAATTTGGGATTAAACGGGTAAGATTTCATGACATTTATGATGTCTACTGTACTCACAGTGATATAGCTATGCTGGCTACCTACAAGGACAGCTAGGGTCGATTACGTTAGCTAACAACACATTTGACTTACCCTTCCAGTGACGGCATAGCAGGTTGAATATTCATAAAAAAAATTAGATTGCGTCCATTTGTACCCCTCCAGGCTTTTGTAGGCTTTTAAAGAGTCTCCGGAGTAATGTTAGGAGGGAAAGTCGATGAGGTAGTTGTAGATATCAGGATTCTGCAGGTCAGGAAATCTTTCCGTTCCTTTATTGATAGGCTACACGTTAAAAGCACCACGGGGGCATTATAGGGATCTGTTATGCTTAATCTATTACGTTTTGCTATGTGCAGGTCTATGTCTTTTGAATTAAAGTACGCAGTGAACTCTGTTGCCTTGAAACTCATGCTGGCGCCATTCATCTCATATTCGCTCCCGGCTGTCCCTGCCTGCCAGCATGGTGGTGTAAACAGAATGGGTCACGTGACGTCCGGAGCTCTATACACATTGCATATGATGTTGCTGTTATTTTGTATTTCAAAATTCTTCTAAAGGAATAATTCACCCACAAAAATGTTTTTAACTAACACTCATGTCATTGTAAATCTGTATGACTGTCTTTCTTCAGTGGCACACAAAAGGAGAAATTTAGCAGAATATCACTCTTTCCCAGTCACTAAGGTTGAATGATAATTGGAACGGTCAAGCACTTAAAATAAAAATATCATAAAATAACTTTTGGGTAAACTACTTCAGTCTAAAGTGGTTTGATAAGAATCACACGATTAGCTGATTCGTGGCTGGTTTCAAAGATTTTTACTTCCTTTATAAGTAGTAGAAAATAAGAATCTGTAAATGTGTCATTAGGTTACACACTGAGGATTTTGCTGCACGTAGAAGAATTTGATATCATGCTATCAGACGCTATAATCCTTACTCATTACGTAGTAACTACGTGCAAACATTTTCACTTTTAGTTAGACCTCTTATCAACTGTTCAGAAAATAAGCTGGTAAGGTACAGTGGATAACAGGAGTGTAATCCTCTGTGATCATCTATGATTTAATATGCAGAGTCAGCTTTACAGGACATGAGTGATTTTGATGAAGTGGGCTACCAAAATCTGCTTGTTTGACAGTTATAAGAATAAACTACATTAAAGTGGTGCTTACCAGCACAAAACTCACCGTCACAGTGCTATGTGGTTATGAAGGTATTTTTAAAGATTTCTTAAGTGGTTGTTAATGTATTCTGGGTGTTTACTAAGCCACTGTTTAGTCAAAAAGAATCAATTTGAATCTGAATGCCTCCCCCTCCCTTTTGAAATTCACTCCCTGGACTCAATCCCCTTGTGTACCCCCATTGCCAGCCCTAGTTACTAAATGTGCTTATATTGACCACCCCAATGCGTAAATATTCACCTTCGTTACACATACTGTAGTGTCACAAGTTTTTTACCAGGATTGACAAGCCAGTAAAGAAAAACAAACCAATTAATGTAGAAACTACGATGCATTGTGGTACAAGAAGAGCAAAGGAACTACTGACACCAACACAAACAAAAAACACTCAGAGTTCTGCACTGGGAGATGTCAGACCATTGGCCCTATTTTCTGATGCCAATATCTGTGCTAGGGATCTCACAGTAGGGACTGCTGCATGCTGCTTCCCAATCACAGACCATCGATCCCTGCTACTACACCAGCACCTGAGTCTCTAAATCACAGTCTAGGCTTATGTCAGCATTAGTAAAGGATCCCAACTACAAGCCCATCATGACCCACACTGATACAACTGTTACTTTTAGCTTAGGTCTCATTTGCATTGGGTATCGGCAAGATAAGCTCCTGGAGTTCACAGAGAAAATGCTTAGAAGA